AAAGCTTAAAATGGTTCTTCCCCATGGGGCTTGGGAGTCGAGTTATGCCCTCTCTACTGAATTTTTGACCATTTTTTCGATATTGAGCAGTAAATCAAACAACGGAGTTTTGATCTGAAATTTTGCCCATAGATAGGTCTAATCGTCTTTAGAATATCCTGAAAATTTCAGCTGAAAAGAATGTTCCTTTGTCGAGATATTGAATTATTAAAAAATCATTGCTTTTACAGGCAAGGCGCAAAAAGCCAACCTACTTGAATATCCCAAGGGGGTAAGTGCAGACGCCTAGCACCCAGCACCTGCTCAGCACCTACAGCACCTACCAGCACCTATCAGCACCTACCAGCACCTACCAGTACCTACCAGCACCTACCAGTACCTACCAGCACCTACCAGCACCTACCAGTACCTACCAGTACCTACCGGCACCTACCAGCACCTACCAGCACCTACAGCACCTACAGCACCTGCCAGCACCTACAGCACCTGTTCAGCACCTATACCGCATTTCACTATGAGCACCTACGGCACCTTCAGCACCTGCAAACATTGTTTCATTATCTTAAGTACTTAAGACAATAGAATAGTTGTTGAAGATGCTGAAAGTGCCGTAGGTACCGTAGATGCTCACTGTGGAATGCGGTATACGTGCTGAGCAGGTGCTGGGTGCTGGGTGCTGGGTGCTGGGTGCTGGGTGCTGGGTGCCTGCACTTTCCCCCTTGGAATATCCAATATCTCGATAAAGGAACATTCTTTTCAGCTGAAATTTTCAAGATATTCTAAAGACGATTAGACCTATCTATGGGCAAAATTTCAGATCAAAACTCCGTTGTTTGATTTAGTGCTGAATATCGAAAAAATGGTCAAAAATTCAGTAAGAAAGGGCATAACTCGACTCCCAAGGCCCGTGGGGAAGAACCCTTTTAAGCTTTTGCTAGTCTCACTGAGCTCTACAAAATGGCATATGTCCGATTCAAAACGGAGCGTGGCACCTGGGGACCTTCCCTCGTTAGTTAACTTATGACAAAAAAATATAAATGAAACAGGAAAGTGGCACTATTTATCATGATACTTTTTCCTTTTCTTCGCTCTGAAATTAATAGTAATGGCACGGATCCTTTTTGATAATTTTCATACATGATGATCTTCAGCCGCCAGCGAAGCACGGTCTTGAGTGGTGTTTATCAGTTATGAATGTTCACTTGTAAGATAGAATTCGTGCCAAAAAAAAAGAATCGTAATCGTCTGAAACGATTTTTACAGAAATTCGATGAACCATCGCATGCAATTACCAAAGCCTACAGAAAGCAATGGTCTCAAAGTACGTCTGCAATGAGTATTGTAGTATAGTTCGAAGCTGCCACCCTAATTAAGAATATGATCAAACTGGTAATACACTCTAAAACTTAGATGCCAACTGAGGACAAATATCGAACGCAAGTGTTATAATGATGAGTACTGCTACATGAAAAGCTTTGAAATGGTACAGAACAATGAGTAATAATTGAACGACAATTTTGGCTTGATAGAGCTATTATTAAATAGAACCGATCTGACAGATCTTGATATTAAGCTCGAAGTAGATAATGTAACTTATTCTGTCGTTTGAGAATGTAAGTTGTGTCGAAAGCTGATTTCCCACCAAGACAAATAACAGAATGATGATTTGAACTGCAACTTAAAGGAAAATAACGACCGGAAAAGAAATCTGAATCAAAGTAAGAATACACACGACGATGGCATCCAAGTCAACTGTCAAAAATGACTTTCCAGTTACTGTGAGGATCATAAACGATCCCAATAATGAGACTTCATCCAAATGTCGATTTTTGAGGAGGAATATGTGTATGGACAAGAAATGCTTCCAAAAATGGCCGTAGAAATCAATATCTTCTGTTATAGGCAGAAGGGACAGTTAATCTTGGTTTTAACAGGATCGATAATATAAATCAGTGTAATATTGCTTGTGAAGCCTGTATATTTTACCTATCCTGTGCAACGATAGAAAGAAAAATAAAAATAAAACCATGATAGTATGTATATTTTTCCAACCATCGATTAACTTTATCTCTCTTCATTATTCAAGCTGTATAATCGATAAGTGAAAGAACAAGCAAAAGAATAACAACATTTTTGCGAGAAAAAACCCAGTATGTCTCAATAATATATGATCATGCTTTATTCCACGTCTACGGTTGATTGCACGCAAGCCAAATATTTTTTCGATATGTATAGAAGTAACATAATGCTTTCATTTTCTTTATTAAACGAAATCAATACATTACCAACGTGTTGTATTCGTTATTATAATATACATCGCATTAATACAAGAAGCAGACGTAAGTCTTTGGATATTGCAGTATTCCTCGTAAGTCTTTTTACTCTATCAGTATTCAAAAGATTCTTTTATTTTTAAATGATAACAGTAATTAAGTATAGTTTATGTGAGCTTTATATTGTGTCTAAATTTATGGAAAGAAGAAAATGAAAGTGAATATTGGCAAATTTTGCGAATTTTATGAAAATAGTGATGAAGTTAGTGACTTTTTTCTCGTTAATATAGGTCGCTTGTGGCTATTAGGGGATTTAATGAAAAGGATAGCAACTGATATGCTACTGAAATCGGTCCTGATTATTCGATAGTTATAAGAAACCCTTGGTGATTTGTATCCGTTCTAATATGATTCTGACGGACACTGGAACTATTTGTTGTACGTAGGTAGCTATTGGAATGTCTTGAAAAACGGCAAAGACAAGCAGATTAGGAACATCTCGACAATAATCTTCACAACTTTAAACGATCGAAGTGATTCGTGCCTTAAAACCTTACATACTTGTCATAAAAATACCATTGAGATTTCACCAAGAGGTGCTTCCCATATCAAATCTTCGCATCTCTGCAGATTTCAAAGGCATAGTAAAAGCCAGCTATGTTCAAGGAAAGACAATAGTGTGTTTTGAAACAGAAGAATTGAAAAAAAATTGGCTAGATATTCTAACAATTTTTCAATAGAACTGACTTTGAGAGCATATTTCTTCCACTTCTTTCATGTTTATATTTGTGCTAATAAATTGTTATTTATTATTATCATTATAAACAGCCAATTTTTTGATCTTGTGTATGCTTGGAAAATCTTCAGCTCTTGTAATTTTCAGTTATGATAACTCGAAGAAAATAATAAAAAATTGATGTATAAAAATGAAGCCATATGTTTTATGTTAAATGAATAATAAACAAACTGTTATTATAAGTGCTCTCATGTAAAACAAATCACTAAGGATTCATATTACAACCATTCTACAGATTTCGCTCACGAAAGATAAGTCTAAAAGCTATGTTTTTTTTGGAGAATGCTGCACTAATACTTAATGAGAAATTTCAATAAAACACTGATTTTTCAGTTACAATAGGAAATTGAAGAAATCAGAAATAGTTCATAATGACGCTTTGGTTTAGAAATTGTGATCGAGAATTCTCGTGCTACAGATCTAATAGTTTTTCAAATTAAGTCGAATTTGAGATTATATGAAATCTACATAAAAATAAATAAATGCGGAAACTTCGGATTTAAATCCGAGAGTTATGTGTACTTCAAAAAGTGAATCATACGAATCAGTCATCCTAGAATATCTCAACATCAAAATTATACTGGGGAACCTACCATTTAAAATATTGATTTCTATTGCGCGTTGCCAAACCAATAGGACATGGGACCGAATACAGCTCAAGTTTGAACTCTTTTCCTTGATTTACCCTAACAAAGGCGTTTTTCCTATAACTTGATTTCCATTGGTCACTGCACAACCAATAGTATTTCGATGGAAGTGCAGTACACATTCGAGTTCTCCATCTCTGAAAACCTCGAAGTATCATCAATGTGATCAGAAGATAGAGCTCTGTTTATGAATCAATTAGATCGTGGACCAAAATATAACCTAGTTCTCTTTAAGTATCCTTGTGATAGATGAGTCAGACTTCTTGCTTCTTTCTGTTTTATATATCATTTTGTAGCTCTTGAAATTCTCTATCGAATGGTATATAATAGTTGGGGTTTTAATTGACTATGATAGGAAAAGTCTTTTACGAAAGTCACGATGGGTCCATTTTTCCACAGAAGGCTATAGGGAAAAATAGGTATTTTTTCAATAACTCAGGAATGGCTCGGCCGATTCTTCTCATCTACGAACTCGACCGAGATATTGTCAAGACTAAGCTGTGTAGAAAGTTTCATCGCAATCTGACTCTGCTGTCAAAAGTTATCATGTAAACAGCCAACCGGACGGACGAACGCACTGACTATACTATATAGTGTACTCACTTTTTGAGTACACAAAACTATGATTCGGTTCAAAACTAATATCAGATTCAGAATCAGCGTTAAAAACTGAGTCGATTTATGTATTTTGTGAATAATTATGAGCAAAAAATTTTTTTTCGAAAAATCCCCGTACCCCCCCTCATGGATGGTCTGGTCAAAAATCACAATTTTTTCGATAACTCAGCCATTTCTTGACGGATCCTTCTCATCTTCGAACTCGACCGAGATATTGTAAAGACTGAACTGTGTAGCAAATTTCATCGTGATCGGACTCTCCTTTCGAAAGTTATCGTGTTAACGGCCGGACGGACGGACGGCCGGACATACTGACCGATTCTAGTAGTGTACTCACTTTTTGAGTACACTAAAAAAGGATGACGTTATGGAGAAATGGAATCAAAAACATAACAGTGGCTAGCCGTGAGAAGTACCTCGAAAGATCCCCGACAAACAAGTAGCTGGTGCACTAAAAAGTTCCTTAAAGAGACGCTTCAAGCTGTTTGTATTCATCAAACAAACATCAGCAATCTTGATCTAATGAGTTTGAATAAGGAGTTGCAGTTGCTGAGAACTGAGACATATTTTGAAATAAAGTGTGAGAACGCTTTTTCTGCACGTGCACAATATTTCAATACTACATTTGGCGGAAAACGTCAGTCAGGGTTTTTTTATTCATGGTATCAAAAGTAGATATAAATGAAATAAACGGAAATTCTTCTGCTTGTATGTGTTCTTGTCTATATTCATTCCAATGTCGAAATGTATACGGATATATTAAAATTACTTATCTAATCTGACGGTTACTTTAAGTAGAAGTTTTTTTCAAGTATGAAAGTACGATTGAAGATTGATCTAGAATGGTTCATTTTAACCTAGGAATTCAATTGAATCCGTATTTTTGTAGCGCACATCTGAGTAAAAAGATATTGTTGCCTAATGTTTCCATAATCCAATGAATTTCTAGTAGAAATTTCAAGTAGTATGGCTCTGTTTTACAATAGTGTCGTGAATGCGGTCTGTTTCTTGACCGCTGAGAAACTTGAACATAATCTATTTTTTCTAGTGCATGTGGAAATCGCCGCCATAGTGTAGTTTCTTGAAGCATTCAGTATAAATGTAAAAATATCAATTTGATTAGATGTATTTGTGATAAAAATGTTCATTCTGACCCGCACACAACTGTGCACAACGAGATTGACGCTAATATCAGCGCACACATATCTATCCACTC